GCGAGCAAAACTGTTCAAAATCTGAGCCGGGGTTAACCCATGCTCGGTGCACTGTAACAACTCATCCATGGTAGCTTTTAGTGCCGACGTGCTTTTCCACTTCCTGTCAGGAACGTTCAAGATTAACATTTGTGTTCTTCGGGCGAGATTCTTATCTTCGAACCTCTCCCTGACGGCCTTGAGAAAGTCTTCAATACGGGTTTGTTGGGAAAACTCTACCATCGAACCACGTCCTGCTTCCTTTTGTAACGAGATGGCAAAACTCATTGCGTCACCAGTCATGCACGAAGTGGCCATCAAGACCCTATCCCAATAGGGAATCCGTTGTCCGTAGACATAAGACTCTACAACCGCCATCCAATGCAACACGCTTTCTTCCCTTTTTGCCGGTGTACGTCCATGGAATTTTAACTTTAATTTTGTTGCTGGTCCCAACTCCTTCTTCTAACTGTCTTCCCCTTCCTTTCTTATCTCCATCTCCGTCACCACCTCCTCCTCCGCCGCTGCCCTGCACTATTCTCTCAATCACGGTTGGAGTGAAGGTTTGAGTGAGATGATCATCCAGTTTGTTGATATAGGACTGAATGTGCAGATCTACGTCCTTGGCGGACTTCTGCAAAAAAATGTTCCATACATTTTCAAATTCTAGTTGATTTGTTTCAACTTTCTGCAAGGTCCTATTGATTGCATGAACTTCCTGTTTCGTCTGGAGAACTGTTTCAGTTAGGAGGGCGAGTTTTTCTTCAGTAGCCGCTTGTTTTTCCTTTTGTGCCTGCAGCTCGCTGTGTAACCTCGCCCCCTCTGCTTGCAACTTCTTTCTATCATCAAGCTTTTTGCGCTTTGTAGCTAGCATCTTGCTATGTAGTTCAGTGCGTTTTTCTTCCAGTATCAGTTCTCTCTCCCTTTGATCTGTTACTTCTAACTTGTCACTGGAATAAGAATACTGGTCATACCAGTCCAATGGCTTGACAAATACTTCTCCCCGGACCTCACTTGTCTCGCCACTTTCTGCACGCCGCCTGATAAGTCTCTCTCCCCCTTCTTCAGAGGCTTCTTCTTCTTCCTCAATAGTCTGCAATTCATCCTTTATTTCCTGTTCCCACTTTTCCTTTAACTTCCTCGTCATCTCCTCTTCTTCTAACTGGGCTTTTTTCTTTAACTCTTCTTCTTTCTTCTTCTTTCTTTCTTCTTTTTCTTTCTTCTTTTCTGCCTGTCGGTGGTCAATCTCTGCCTGCTCAGCAGGTGTGGGCCCTGGCTTCACTGCTCCTGATCGCATCATCATGCGGGASGTACACACGCGTCCGAACCCCAGTGGGAAGATGAACCTGAACAGTGGGCCCCACAAGACAGAGAGGGCCAACAGGCCCTGAATGGGATAGTCATCCATGATGACTGCCGGCACAGGAGACCCATCACCGGATCACCAAGATACTATCCCACTTACAGACTTAGTTTTGACTTGCGGTAATGGAGTACTATACTGCCTCTTTCCCTTTATGACTGTAGAAGGTGCTGCGTACTATCAACAATAGCTCAACCTGCAATGAACTTTGAATATGTCCTTTTTTTTTTTTTTTTTT